ATATTTCAAACATATTTTTCTTCCATGTGGGTAGGAAGAGTCTGGTGAATATCATCAGGAGGCAATCGATGACCCATGTGAGTAGATGACCCCCATGCTGTGGTGTAGTGACTCTGTAGTGGGGCACTCAGTTTGTGCAGTGCAGCCAGAAACTGAGGAGTCCTCAAGGTGTTCAATTTTGCAGTTCATTATCTCCTGCTGCCCTCCCCTATCCAAGTTCATTGTACTCAATAGAAGAAACCCCTAGACTGTTCTTTGGAGCCAGTGGAAGAGTGCTGAGAATACGGAGCGCCTGGCTGTGTATGCACTAAGGTGACCCAATTCACCATCGGCACATTTGGAGGAGAGCTACTAACACAGCATGGCACTGCACAGGTTAATACCTGACCTCTGTCTGTAGTGTGAGAATTGACACTTCCTGTGAAGAAGAAACCACATATCCCACAATCTCCGGGTCTCCCAGCCAAGATCTCTGCAGGTGAGGGTGTCACAGTAATTAAGATCTGACACCGACACAACAGGCAGAGAGCTCACCATGCAGTCTTTCATCACAATAGAGCTCCCACATTTGTGATGCAACAAGGAAGAGATGGCAAGTCATGAACTGGATGCTGTGTGACCCGGAACACAAAGTGGCCCATTCCTTTAGTGAATAGGGACAAGCTAGGTGAATGAATACTGTACATGGACATTTGGAGACATATGGAGCCTACCCCTAGGCAAACTAGGCAGCTGCCTAGGGCACTGCCACGGCCACTGCAAATTAGCATGACACAAATCATTTGTCGGTTGGCAATGATCCACCTCCGGTGGCAATGATGAAATGACCCAGCTGACAGTCCTGGGCCATGTTCCTCTGGCCATGTGTCATCACGGAGTAGGCGTTCTCTCGTCGTGTATTGTACAATTGGAGTGGGCAGATCCTGGCTCTGTGGATCCTCCCTCTCTGGCCCCTCCCCCGTGGCTCGCTGTCACTGTCAGCTCATTCTCCAGAGCCGGTGGCCGGGTAGTAGTGTGATTCCGCTCAGTGATGACCGGCAGCCCAAGTGCCATTCAGACACAGCCCAGCTTCCCTCCCTGCACCCAGCCTGACCTGCCAAGGCTCCGGGCCCATCTCTTATAGCGGGGTTTCTGCTGATAAAAGCCACACAGGCATGCCTCCTGACAGCCTAATAACGGCTACGGCACCCGGGCACTGTGCCTTCTCACTGTAAGCTGTGCCCCTCCTCCTGCAGTGCCAGGATCCCTCTGCGTTCAGTGCTGCTTACACCCCACTCTCTGCTGCTTTGCTGCTCCTTGCCTCACCCTGCATCCACCAATAATTCATGGTGTCATTGCATTCATCATGGGTGGAGGTACCAGGACACTAACAGGTCACCAACACACCTGAGTCATGCAAGTGGCATGCCCGTATGAGGCTGCACATGCCCAGCACACAGTCCAGGGTGGTAGGTGCCCCTCTTTAGGTTTCATAGTTCCCAGTACTTATGGTCCTGACCCCAGGAAATACCTCTGATTGTCTGCTGGTCCTCAGAAAAGCCATCTACCACATAGATCTACAGTACGTGTGGTTCCCTATACACTCTCATAATGTGGTGTTGAAAACCCCAAACGGGTTATTCCAAGTCCAGGTAATCCGTTAAGATTTCCTATTGGGGTCTCAGCAATTCCTTTACTCTACAGGGGTACAAAGGTTGAGCAAAGTTCTTCTAGATCATACTTTCTAAGCCAGGGTTCTGTGGAGTCTTAGGGTTCCTCTAGAGGTTGCTGGTTGCTGGGGGTTCACAGAGACCTGAGAATTATTTTAGTGGTGTGACGGGTGATCTGTCCTAATATTGGGTGGGCTTTGTCTCAGACTGTGTAGACATGTTTAGGAGATATGTGGGGTGGGGGGTTGTTGATTGTTTAATGTCATGTGGCTGCATTTCATTGTTCTATTGTTTGTCTGGCTTGGGAGCAAACTATTATGGGATGTATGTGTTTACGTGTATTAGCTTAGTGAGGGGGTGTCTCCAGCAGCCCTTTCTCCTGATGGGACTGTCTGCTGGGGTGAAGATTGAATATCTATGTGTCTCTTGTTACTAAATGTAGATTGCCCCACCCTGTGTCATTATGCAAGGAGGGGGGATTGCCCCCTGAGTGTATATATCTTGTATCTGTGTTCAAATAAACTAGTCTACCTCCTGGTTTACTTTACTTCACTACTGGTGTCGCCTAGTCATGTATGGTCGGCTGTGGTATCTGTTGTCAGTGTTCGGACGTGGAAGCGGGAGTCTAGCGGAAGTACCCAAGTGCAGTCGGGGTCCGGTTCCATTACACACGCCAACCCCAAACCTTCACTGATGTCATCCCTTAGGTTGGAGTTGACAGACATGCTTGGCCTCCGGACCACCCGCCAGATCCATGTTCTTCACTACCCCTCTGTCCCACCCCCCCCCACCTGTTTACTCAACCCGAGGAGAGGGAACTGGGGGCAAGGGAACCAAGCCGCGGCTGGGGAGAGCCAGGGGAAAAGGGGGAAGAGAGAGTGAATGTCAGCGTCATAACATTTGCGATTTGCTGCGGCTCGATTTCTAAAGTAGTTCTCGTGTGACTTTTTCTGCAGTTTTCTTGCGATTTCACATACATAGAATATCACGGAAATCGCACTGCAAGCTGCAAGAAATCCTACAAAGAAAGTAGTCTACCTCCTGGTTTACTTCAAGGCTGGTGTCGTCCAGTCATGTATGGTCAGCTGTGGTGTCTGATGTCGGTGTTCGGACGGGGAGGCGTATTCTAACGGAAGTACTCAAGTGCAGTCTGGGTCGGTTCCATTACAAGTGGCTCCTCTATTTTCTATAGTTTTTAAAAATGTTGAAGTTATATTTTTTTTTTTTTTGGGGGGGGGGGGGGAGGGGGGGTAGTTGCAAGCAGCTAGTCTTGCCTAGGGTGAAGAATAGTCTCTACCACCGGCACTGCATGGGGATCCTTCAGCCATGACACTACAAACTGCAGCAAGCAGCTGGTCTTGCCTAGGGTGAAGAATAGTCTACCACCGGCCCTGCATGGGGATCCTTCAGCCATGACACTACAAACTGGAGCAAGAACATGGGATCCCATCATGACAAGGTGAGGCAAACAAACGACCCGGGAATAGAACTACACTAAAACCGAAAATAATAAACTAATGTCAATGCTCGACAGCGATGGAAGTCTGTCTGCCAAAATTCAAATTGTTGGCACAGGCTCTTAAATATAACGTAGTAGGTAAACCATCCTCTTCCTTGCAGCTCCCTCCAGACTGGGAATCCTCCAAAAAACTGTAAATTAAATTGACAGCGAACTGGCATAGTGTAAGAGCCTCAAAAATCTTTAATTGGTTAAAATAAAAAACATATCCACAAAAGTGGTAAAAAGATATGCTTTTCACGTAATTTCTGTAAGGAACATCTCATCAACCAACCAAAGCACTCATCCATCCATTAGTGCTTCATTTGAAGGCCAACCCCTAATATACTTGCTGAAGTGTTGCAAAGCAGCACTTCTTCATCAGAGTTGGTTTTGAAGAATATTCTATTTTAACCAATTAAAGATTTTTTGAGAATTGTAAGCTGTACCAGTGCACTCTCCGTTGGAACGTGCGCATTCTCGTGTGGTTGCCAGGACCTGGGTCTGAACTTGCAACCTCTGCTGTGTCTGGCAGTACCTCTTGCTGAGCCACCTGGGATGCTGCTCCCTTGTCTTGACCCTTGTTTCTGATGAACCTTAAACCCTTTACTCCTCCCATGAGCTTCCTATTTAAGTCATGTGTTTGCACTTTCTGATTTCCAGATTATTATGCTCTCTCCAGCCAATATCTTGCTCTTGTCACTCCTGCAGCCGTCTGTATCTTCATTACTACTTACGTTATAGACCTTTGGCTTGTTCCTCGACTACGCTTCTGCTTGATCCCAACCTGCAACCACTTGTTACCGACCTTTGGTTTGTTCCTCCACTATACTTCTGCTGGATCCCAACCTGCAACCACTTGTTACTGACCTTTGACTTGTTTACTGACTATAATTCTGCTTGATCCCAACCTGCAACCACTTGTTACCGACCTTTGCCTTGTTCCTCGACTACACTTCTTCTTGATCCCAACCTGCAACAACTTGTTACCAACCTTTGGCTTGTTCCTCGACTACACTTCTTCTTGATCCCAACCTGCAACAACTTGTTACCAACCTTTGGCATGTTCCTCGACTACACTTCTTCTTGATCCCAACCTGCAACAACTTGTTACCAACCTTTGGCTTGTTTACTGACTATAATTCTGCTTGTTCCCAACCTGCAACCACTTGTTACCGACCTTTGGCTTGTTCCTCATCTACAGTTCTGCTTAAGCCCAACCTGCAACCACTTGTTACCGACCTTTGGCTTGTTCCTCATCTACAGTTCTGCTTAAGCCCAACCTGCAACCACTTGTTACCGACCTTTGGCTTGTTCCTCAACTACACTTCTGCTGGATCCCAACCTGCAACCACTTGCTACCGACCTTTGACTTGTTTACTGACTACGCTTCTGCTTGATCCCTACCTGCTATATCTGCTACTACTGGACCCTGGCTTGATCACCTCCTGGTGGGGAGATCATGAAGACTGCAACCTGGTACTAATATACAGCAAAATCCATCCCCACCATCAGGAGCTCTGGTGAATACTGGTTAGGGCTTAGATCCCACACCTCGGATGAGCCCATATCATCCACCAGGGTGACCTGCCTGTGTACTTATCCAGCTGGTCGGTGGGAGCCTCTCTTTTGCCATAGCTACTGGTCCCCAAGCCTGACCCCTGACCGTGACAGCGGTGCGTTTTTACAGCCTATTCTTTTGAATGGGAGGAAAAGCTCATCAGACCTGGCAGAGTGTCTTCGAAGACTACGCCGTCGCCGAGCTATTAGCAGACATCACAGTCTATGACTGGCTTACACTTTAAGCTGTTTGATTTTGTTACAGAGGATCCCATTTGGACACTCACCTTTATGTTTGATTGGATCATCGGTAACCACATAGGAATCAGCTTAAAAGAAAATGAAAAAAACAAGTTAGCGAACGGACAGCTCAACGCACTATTGGCATCCCAGTGGTTTAAAAAAAGAAATAGTCTGATGGTGCCATCTGGTATTTAGCCTTGTCATAAGGATCCAGTAAAATGCTTACTGTAGAATCTAGATTTTATTTTAAAAAAAATCATAATCATATACTTTTTTTTTTACAATATCTACTTTTTGTATTACTTGTAATACTTTTTATATTTCATTTTTTTTCCTGAAAAAGGGGGAGCCTCAGAACAATTGAAATGCATTGGCTTGCTTTGGTTTTTCTGATCAATAAACATGCTTAGACTTAACCATCATTTGGCAATCTCTTTTTTTGACACCACAGGGGCTGATTTACTAAAACTAGAGAGTGCAAAATTTGGTGCAACTCTGCAAAGAAACCAATCGGCTTCCAAGTTTTATTGCCAAAGATTAATTCAACAAGCTGAAGTTCGAAGCTGATTGGCTGCCATGCACAGCTGCACCAGATTTGGAGTTCACCAGTTTAAGTATATCTACCCCCCATACTCTGGTTTCTCTTCAGATCGTATAAATATGTCTCAAACAACAGCCTTTTGAGTGTTGCCCCATTGGAGTGGATCTGAGAGTTTCCCAATTGAAGCGGATCTGAGAGTTGCCCATATGGAGCGGATCTGAGAGTTGCCCAGTTGGAGTGGATCTGAGAGTTGCCCAATTGGAGTGGATCTGACAGTTGCCCCATTGGAGTGGATCTGAGAGTTTTCCAATTGGAGCGGATCTGAGAGTTTTCCAATTGGAGCGGATCTGAGAGTTGCCCAATTGGAGCGGATCTGACAGTTGCCCAATTGGAGCGGATCTGACAGTTGCCCAATTGGAGTGGATCTGACAGTTGCCCAATTGGAGTGGATCTGACAGTTGCCCAATTGGAGTGGATCTGACAGTTGCCCAATTGGAGCGGATCTGACAGTTGCCCAATTGGAGCGGATCTGACAGTTGCCCAATTGGAGCGGATCTGACAGTTGCCCAATTGGAGCGGATCTGACAGTTGCCCAATTGGAGCGGATCTGAGAGTTGCCCAATTGGAGCGGATCTGAGAGTTGCCCAATTGGAGCGGATCTGACAGTTGCCCAATTGGAGTGGATCTGACAGTTGCCCAATTGGAGTGGATCTGAGAATTTCCCAATTGGAGTGGATCTGACAGTTGCCCAATTGGAGTGGATCTGACAGTTGCCCAGTTGGAGTGGATCTGAGAGTTGCCCAGTTGGAGTGGATCTGAGAGTTGCCCAATTGGTGTGGATCTGAGAGTTGCCCAATTAGTGTGGATTTAAGAGTTGCCCAATTGGAGTGAATCTGAGAGTTGCCCAATTGGAGTGGATCTGAGAATTTCCCAATTGGAGTGGATCTGACAGTTGCCCAATTGGAGTGGATCTGACAGTTGCCCAATTGGAGTGGATCTGAGAGTTGCCCAATTGGAGTGGATCTGAGAGTTACCCAATTGGAGCGGATCTGAGAGTTGCCCAATTGGAGCGGATCTGAGAGTTGCCCAATTGGAGCGGATCTGAGAGTTGCCCAATTGGAGCGGATCTGAGAGTTGCCCAATTGGTGTAAATCTGAGAGTTTACCAATTGGTGGTGGATCTGAGAGTTGCCCCACTGGAGTTACTACACTCTGATATATGGACTCCACAGACTGATTAGGAGGATGTTGAACACTTTGGGTTCCAGTGCTCCAAACCCTCCTGGGCTATATAAATCCATGACTGTGCCGCAGAAGGATTCGGCTGTCATACCGTTATGGCTGCTCATTATGCCTACTGTCCAAAAAATCCATGGTTATCAGAGACATGAAACACATTTTACATTTCGGGTCAACTATTACTGACCCCCAACCCCCTGAACAACCGCCTGGAAGGGCTTGGTTACACTTGTAGTTCCTCTGCATTTGCGGCCACCCATGTCTAGTGCAGTGCACTGCTCAGCTCCACTCAGAATAAATCAACCTCTATTGCTTTATTATCCCTATGCTATTCCATCTCTGCTCCAGAATATGAATGCAATTATGTCCTTTTAACATTATCAAGATCTGCAATTACACTTCTAAATCTTTGGCCCCAAGATAATTGTTATTGACTCGATCTGATGAGTCACCTTTCATTCCATTCTAGAAAGGCACCCTGGCTTCCTATACATCATGTCATGGAAGAGAAAAAAAGCTTTCAGGGTAATTAGATAAAGTGTTTTGTTGCATCATACTGACATTCTCAGACTCAAGAGCTTCTGCCCTTACATAAATATGCCAAACAGCGGCCATACAAAAGGCTTTGCAGATGCAAAGGGATTACAAGCACTTGTATGCCAGGAAATGCAAAGAACTGTGTTTTCCAGCTGCATGAGTGGGTCTGTCGCTGGTCAAATCCTGGTCAACAGGATTTTATAAATATATTGATACTATTCCTGTCTGTACTGCTTAGGTGATACAAACAATGCTCAGACCAATAAAATGTCTGGGATGATGACGTTCAGCATAATACTGACTTATACGCTACTGAATGATGAGAGGGGAGATCAGGCTCCTCTGATGTTAACCCTGCACTGTCTATCCATCACAGCAATATCATCAAATACCATCGTCATTAGAGCAGGTCCATCAACTCAAATCTCCATCAGACAAGAGCCATCAGCTCCTTTGTCCATCAAAGTACAATAATCAGCTCCCCTCTCCATAAGAAATGAGCCATCAGTTCCCCTCTCCACCAGAAAAGAGCCATCAGCTCCCCTCTCCAACAGCAAAGAGCTCCTGGATCTACTGTTCATCAAAATACAATCATCAGATCCCCTCTCCATAAGAAGAGAACCATCAGTTCCCCTCTCCACCAGAAAAGAGCCATCAGCTCCCCTCTCCAACAGCAAAGAGCTCCTGGATCCACTGTTCATCAAAGAATAATCATCAGCTCCCCTCTCAAGAAGATAGCTATCAGTTCCCCTCTCCACCAGAAAAGAGCCATCAGTTCCCCTCTCCACCAGAAAAGAGCCATCAGTTCCTGTCTCCACCAGAAAAGAGCCATCAGCTCCCCTCTCCAACAGCAAAGAGCACTCGGCTCCACTGTCCATCAAAGAACAATCATCAGCTCCCCTCTCCATAAGAAAAGAGCCATCAGTTCCCCTCTCCACCTGAAAAGAGCCATCAGTTCCCCTCTCCACCAGAAAAGAGCCATCAGCTCCCCTCTCCAACAGCAAAGAGCTCTCGGCTCCATTGTCTATCAAAGAACAATCATCAGCTCCCCTCAAGAAGAGAGCCATCAGTTCCCCTCTCCACCTGAAAAGAGCCATCAGTTCCCATCTCCACCAGAAAAGAGCCATCAGCTCCCTCTCCAACAGCAAACAGCTCTCGGCTCCATTGTCCATCAAAGAACAATCATCAGCTCCCCTCTCAAGAAGAGAGCCATCAGTTCCCCTCTCCACCTGAAAAGAGCCATCAGTTCCCATCTCCACCAGAAAAGAGCCATCAGCTCCCCTCTCCAACAGCAAACAGCTCTCGGCTCCATTGTCCATCAAAGAACAATCATCAGCTCCCCTCTCAAGAAGAGAGCCATCAGTTCCCCTCTCCACCTGAAAAGAGCCATCAGTTCCCATCTCCACCAGAAAAGAGCCATCAGCTCCCCTCTTCAACAGCAAAGAGCTCTCGGCTCCACTGTCCATCAAAGTATAATCATCAGCTCCCCTCTCCATAAGAAAAGAACCATCAATTCTCCTCTCTATCAGAAAAGAGCAATAAGTTCCCCTATCAGAAAAGAGCCATCAGTTCCCCTATCAGAAAAGAGCCATCAGCTCGCCTCTCTATCAGAAAAGAGCAATCAGTTCCCCTCTCTAATAGAAAAGAGCGATCAGTTCCCCTATCTATCAGAAAAGAGCCATCAGCTCCACTGTCCATCAAAGTAGAACCACCAGTTCCGAATTCCAGTAAGGCCAAACCATCAGCTCCACTCCTCAGAGTAGAACCATCAGATCCCTGTTCCATCAGAGCAGGATTCATCACCTCTTCTATCCATTAAAGCAGAACCACCAGCTCCACTCTCTATCAGAGCAAAACAGCTTCCCATTTTATCTAAAAGAACCATCCCCCCTCTGTAAAGCAGAAGCACCATCTCTGCTCTCCATCAGAACAGATCCCTCAGCTCCCCTCTCCTTCAGAGAAGAACATCAGCTGATTACGTGAAGCAAAACCATCAGTTTTTCTTCATTACAATAGACCCACCAGATCTCCCTTCCATCAGTACACATTGCTAATGTTAATATTTAAAGGGACAGCGCACTCCTTTTTAAATTCAATGGTTCACAAGCTTGTTTACTGCTGGATGCAGAATGAAGATGAAGGACAATCTAAGCTCCGAGTGTTTTGCCTGAATGCATTTTTTTTTGTATCAATAATGCACTTTGCTTGAATTCTCCTTTAATTACTTGAATATCTTTGTTTACTTCGCGGGGGTCAGAATAACGGATTCCTGCCTAAGTGAAATGAATATGAGCTCCTGGTTCCCCTTGTACAGATAGGTCTGAAAGCAGAGAATTATGGTGTAGCACATAACTTACTTTAACAAAGACGGTGGAATTGCATTCCTGTAGAGCCTCCATTAAGCTGATCAGATGCAGGCAGACCATCTCTACCATCTGAAAACGATAAAACAAACGTTGTAAGGGTATGCGTCATGAGGACACCATGGAATCAGTAACTAGTCAACAGATTTGATCAGGTTTAGCAACCTTGTAGGGATCACATCTTAATCTTCAAAGGATCCCTTAATGATCCCTCTCAGAAAACCATCACGAAGACTTCTGGCCTTGCAAGGTGTAACGGTAACCTCATCTCACAGGTCTATATACTTTCCCATATCACAGGATCAGAGAGGGCCTCATAGAATACATAGGTGTGGGGCCCACTACAGCTGGCCATCCTCGTATATGTTTTTTTTGATCAGCCAGCAATCTGATTGAAAAAAACCTGAACAAGTTCTCCCACCCACACAACTGAGGTGGATGGAGGAATTCTCTGCTGTGTCATTGTATTCTGACAGGGGGACTACTCCACTGTCAAAATACACTGAAGCAAAATTTTCCAACAAATCCTTTCAAGGGCGGTCCATAGATGAACTCCCCTTGAACAGGAAGTGCAACAGACACATCGAAATTAGGCCAGTACCTGCTGAAACAGTTACATTTCAATCCATCTATGGCCAGATTTAGTCTTGTTGGCCAGGTCTTCCTTCCTGGGCAAGATCTCTTCACAGCCAACGAAGAATGTGGCCTAGGGTAGTGTTTCTCATCCTTTTTTTTACTCATGGCGCCATTTAAGAACATGAACATTTTGAGGCACCCCAATCCTCTACCACCTCTATTCTATTCTAGACCAGCCTTTCTCAACCTTTTTCCTTCAGAGGAACCTTTAAAATAGCATTCAGGTCACAGGGAACCCCTACCAAATCCAATTCATCAAAGATCAGTGGAAACAATGTGTCTTATATTGGTAACTAGTGGGCAAAAATTTAGACTAAACAATGTTGGTCTGAATGCCACTCTTACAGGGAGATAAAAAGACCATTGTTGCCATGCTGCTGGCTCTGCCATGAGCCACTGGTCCTGGCATCATTAGATGTGAGGTCAAACAACCACAGTTCAAAGAACCCCTGGACACCTATGGAGGAACCCTGGTTGAGAATGGTTGATCTAGACCAAGATGGAACCCTGTTTGAGAAGGACTGTTATAGACCAAGACGGAAGGCTGGTTGAGGATGACTGTTCTAGACCAAGACGGAAGGCTGGTTGAATATTACTGTTCTAGACCAAGAGGGAAGGCTGGTTGAGGATGACCAGGGGTGGACTGACAACTTATGGGGCCCCCGGGCAATAGGGGATCATGGGGCCCCTGTGTCCTCGCCCACACTCAAACCACACCCAAAAAAGCCTATGAAAGGTACCAGGGGCATCTCATGGGGCCCCTACTGACCCTGGGCCCTTGGGCAGTACCCCGAGTATCCAAATGGTCAGTCCACCCCTGAGGATGACTGTTCTAGACCAATATGGAAGGCTGGTTCAGGATGACTGTTCTAAACCAAGACAGAAACCCTGGTTGAGGATGACTTTTCTAGACAAAGACAGAAACCCTGGTTGAGGATGACTGTTCTAAACCAAGACAGAAACCCTGGTTGAGGATGACTGTTCTAAACCAAGACAGAAACCCTGGTTCAGGATGACTGTTCTAAACCAAGACAGAAACCCTGGTTGAGGATGACTTTTCTAGACCAAGACAGAAACCCTGGTTGAGGATGACTGTTCTAGACCAAGACAGAAACCCTGGTTGAGGATGACTGTTCTAGACCAAGACAGAAACCCTGGTTGAGGATGACTGTTCTAGACCAAGACAGAAACCCTGGTTGAGGATGACTGTTCTAGACCAAAACAGAATCCCTATTCACAAGTGCCATGTGGCACTGGTCCTGGCACCATTAGATGTGAGGTCAAGCAACCACAGTTCAAGGAACCCCTGGACACCTATGGAGGAATCCTGGTTAAGCATGATTGTTCTAGACCAAGACTGAACCCTGGTTGAGAATGACTGTTCTAGACGAAGACGGAAGGCTGGTTGAGAGTGACTGTTCTAGACCAAGACGGAACCCTGGTTGAGGATGACTATTCTAGACCAACAAAGAATTAGTGTTCACAAGTGGGAGGACACCATAATAAATCAACTAAATGTACTGATACTTATTAAAAAATCTTTATTCATAAAATAATTTTAGGACTGTAAGAGGCTTTGGTGTTGCAGAACAAGGTAAACGCTGTGAACTCGTCTAGGTAGAAGGTGTGAAAGTAAAGCTCTAATAATACACTGAACTTAATATTGACTTTATTTATAGAAGTTTGCTTTTACACCTTTTACCTAATCACCTCCCCTTTCTACACAATTTATTTTTCTAGAAAATTGCACCAACTTTTCTTCTACTTTTGATATGATTCAAGAATGTTTTTTTTTATTTTGCACTGGTCTCCTTTGGTTTTAATACGGGCTCAAAATGAGACTAGAGGGCCTAAAGCTCTGGAGTCAAGACTGGCCATAGGTTCTGCAACTCCCCTTCTCACAGCCATGTGGTACTGAATCTGAATTCATTACTAGTCCATCCAGTACTAATATTTTAGGTTACATTTGTTCAGCAGTTGCCCTTTTCTGTATAAGAAGGATTCCAGTGATGAGATATGCTGACTTGAAGTTCCAGTTCTATCCAACTGGAATAGCCATTACAAGGCCAGAAGACTTACAAGGACTTTGATGGACCTTTTATAATGTAGAATAAAGAGCTCATTGGAGAATCCATAGGCAAGAGCTGTGTTTTGGCCTTGTGAGAAAGGAGGGTGTGGTGGGTTGAGGTAAGGACAGGACAGGAAAGTGGGGAGGAAAGGTAAAATGGGAGAAAAGGAAAAGGGAACGGTAAAAAAGGAAAGGAAGAATGGAAAGGTAAGATTGGCAAGGAAAGGGAAGTGAAAGAAACAGGAAAAGGTAAATGAGAAAAAGAAAGGTAGGGAGAAAAGGAAAGGGGAAATTAAGATAGAGAAGGAAGGGAATGGAAGGAAAAAGGGAGAAATGAAAGGGAAGGAAAAGGAAGAAAAGATAAAAGTAAGGGGAAGGTAATTAAAATATGAGAAAGGGAAAAGGAAATGAAATAGGAAGAAAAAGGATGGAAAGAGGAAAGAACACAAAAGGGGAAAAGAAGAAAGGAAATTAAGGGAATGAAAGTGAAAGGTAATGAAGAGCAGAGGGGAAGGAAAAGGAAAAAAAGAGAGGTGTAAAGAAAGAAAGGGGAATAAATTGTAAGGAAAAAGGAAAAGAAAGGACAGGGAACGGAAAAGACAAAGTAAAGAAAGAAGAGACACTTTACTTTTGCCAAATTTCACCACTGAGGTCCCAGAAAGAGATATTAACCAGGCAAGAGATTCACCTGATTGGTTACCAATCCAGTTTTGGATTAAAATGGCCCTTACAAAAATAACTACCCACTCCATCCACTAAGCTTTGATGATTCTTATTTGCCATAATGGACATTATTTTCAACAAATAAAGTTTGATAACAACACCCCTTGATAGGGGAGACCCTCCATACCTTGGTCCAAGAGACTTCTGTCAAATAGTTCCCGCATTTCTCTGTCCTCCCTGGTCCTCAGCTATCCTCCCTTACTACCAAGAAGTTCAGAATGCGGTTTTAAATCCCAATTACTTATGAACAAATATAGAATCCAAAATTTTTTGGAACCCGAGAGGTTGGAAGACTATTCCTGAAATACAGGCTATGACTGACCCTCCATATCTCGTGGAGAATAACCCAAATCAGACATTTTCTCCTTTCCCTGCCTAAATCACAGGAACTTGCTACATCGCCTACCAATATATCTCGACTCTTCCCCAGAAGATTATGCCCTATCTAACTTGTACCAATGGATTGACCAACCACCTACAGAGGATGTCTTACATTACTACTCAAATGGAAAAGAGATCTTGGACTCTCACTTTCAAATGTCCAACGAGACAATATCTTTTAGTTTGCTTACAAATCATCAATAGTTATTAGGATACAAGAATCAGATTTTAAAATGTTATCAGGATGGTATAGAATCCCTTCAACCCTAGATAGGTTCTATTCACGAGTCTCTTCCAGAAGATGGTGACATCAAAGGGACCTGGTTAAGGCCTTCTGGGAATGTTTCTATCTCAGGGGCTTATGGGATGAAATACAAAACTTTATAAAGTAACTGACCTGGTGTCAGGGTCCTGTCCACAGCAGAAGTTCTGGAAGATCTGGCATTTTTGCCAGTACTCTACATGGCCGCAGAAGTATACATCAGCCTCAGTCTGGTGCCAGACGGCCTTTATAAGGAGGCTCATCACTTCCTCTGGTTGCTGGATGATCTCTAGCTCCCCGTGCCCTGTTCCTGTTTCCTGTGATTCTGACTTGTGATTTCCTGTTACCGACTCGGCTTGCTCCTGGACCTGTCTACTCTGCCTTACCCCTGATCTGACCTCGGCTTGGCTTACGGATACTCTCTCTCTCTCGCTCCTCTGTGTATGACCTCGGCTATCCCATCTGACTACGTCCGCTCTGATTCCCACCTGGTACCTGACCTTGGCTTGAACCGACTGCCCAGTAAACATCTAAATCCCGGAAGGGCTTGCATACCACGCACAGGCGTCTCCTGTCTGCAGACCTATCTCCGTGCATCAGCTGTGCTTCTGAGTGGACCACCAACCAGCACTCCTACAGGTGACCTGTGCAACTTTGGGCCTGACTCCCGCTGTCCCACTCTCAGGGGAGTCCGGAATTTAGCCGCAAGGGAAGCCCTCTCTCCATTGGCCTCCATCACCAGGTACGTGATACCTGGGGAAGAAACCTGCGGCCTTTTTGCTGCATCTCATTCATCTATCTATATATAGCTACAAACACTTCCTGTTGATACATTTAATAAACGCGGCTAGAGCGTGCATCACAGCCAAATGGTAATAAATGCCACCCCCCCCCCCCCCCCACCACCACCACCACTTTAGCCATGCGGTCTCTGAAAGTCTAGGACTTATATACTACAAGAACTTTAAATACCACACGTAATGATCAAGGCAAGAGATTTAAGAAGACCTGATTTTTCAGGTTTAACTTTACCCACTCTCAGGATTATGGGAACGCCCGTGCCAAACGGATAAGACACTCTTCTGTGGAACCTTAGGGGTCAAGTCCCATGTTCCTGGGCTGGTAAGGATAAGGCTCTCTGGAATAGTGGATGCATCTTCCTTTCCCCCTACACTCACCCCCACATTCCCTTACCATCTCTTCCCCCACCACCCAGGCCCCCTCTTTCTACTCTATCCCCCTATCACATCAGAGGATCCCCCATCACATCTACCCCATGACCTCCGTTTTAGGCTTTTCATCCCCTTTTATATGGAGAAGCCATAAAAACCCTTTTCCCTTATTAGGACCCAGAATCCCCCATTTTCCCAAATGGGTAAGAGAAATCCCCTTTTTTGCGGTGACTCTCTATTTTCTCTTTGAAAAGTTTTTAAAAGTTCGGAGGAAGCAAAAGGTACCACTCAAATCAGCAATGCACATTATGCCTAAAAGCCAGGCCATGGCTTGATAGCTGATGATAATGGCCAATACTATATTGTTATTGGTGATAATGGCCAATGACATTGATGATAATGGCCAATGACACTGATGATAATGGCCAATGACACTGATGATAATGGCCAATGGCACTGGTGATAATGGCCAATGGCACTGGTGATAATGGCCAATGGCACTGGTGATAATGGCCAATGACACTGATGATAATGGCCAATGACACTGATGATAATGGCCAATGGCACTGGTGATAATGGCCAATGGCACTGGTGATAATGGCCAATGACACTGGTGATAATGGCCAATGGCACTGGTGATAATGGCCAATGGCACTGGTGATAATGGCCAATGGCACTGGTGATAATGGCCAATGGCACTGGTGATAATGGCCAATGACACTGATGATAATGGCCAATGACACTGATGATAATGGTCAATGACACTGATGGTAATGGCCAATGACACTGATGATAATGGCCAATGACACTGATGATAATGGCCAATGACACTGATGATAATGGTCAATGACACTGATGGTAATGGCCAATGACACTGATGATAATGGCCAACGGCCAATACTATGTTGTTATTGCCAAACAAAATGTATGCTGTGTTTCTACATATGTATGACTACATGAAGCCAAAGGCTCTAGGTCTGAAAAATGTGAACAGTTGTGCTGAAAAGTTTGCCTCCCCTTGGAGAACTGGTAATATACAGGATGGACTATGAGTGAGCAGGCTAAACCCATTTCTTGTATTTCTTATGGGACTCATATTCTGTAACTGGAGGTGATAATAGAATGGACCAATCATAAAACAGAACCTTGCAACAAGTAAACCAATGATATGCCCCCTGTTCAAAAGTCTGCCTCCCCTTAGTTCCTAATCCTGTGTGGCGCCCCTTTAGCATCAATGACAGTATGCCGTCTTCTCTAATAGTTGTCTATGAGGCCCCCGAATTCTTGCCGGTGGTAGAACTGCCCATCTGTCTCGGCAAAATACCTCCAGGACATGCAAAGTGTTTGGTGGTCTGGCATGAACTGCACATTGGAGATCTCCCCAGGGTGGCTATGAAGGTCAAGAGACTGTGATGGCCTCTCCAGAACCTTCACATTCTGCTATAACCACTGGAGGGCCATCTTGGCCTTGTGCTTGGGGTCATTGTCATTCTAGAAAGTCCCAGAGTGTCCCATGCGCAGCTTTCATGCAGAAGAAAGAAAATTGTCTGCTAGTATTTTCCAATAACACGCTGCATTCATCTTGCCATCAATTTTCACAAGATTCCCCGTGCCTTTACATCTCACCCCCCCCAAAACATCAGTGAGCCACCACCATGCTTCACAGTGGGGATGGTATTCTTGTCGCTGTTGACCCCTCTCCAAACATAGAGCTTATGGTTGGTTGTGACCATAAAGCTCTATTTTGGTCTCGTCACTCCAGATTACAGTGTGCCAGAAGCTGTGATGACCATTCAGCTCATTTTTGTTCAAGTATTATCGTCTTATTTCGCACCTTGAAACAACCGCACCGTCTTTTTCCAGAGCAGCCTGGATTTCTCCCGAGGTGACCTGTGAAGAGTTTATCTTTGTATCCCGAACATTTCTTCTGGCAGTTGTGGCTGCAATCGTCCTTGATCTACCTGACCTTGGCTTGGTATCAATAGATCCCCAAATTTTCCACTTCTTAACCTCTTCACGCCGGCCGCACACAAATGTGCAGCCTCCCAGCGTCTGGGCCTAGACGCCGAGTGGCCACACATTTGCGCGCAATTAAAAAAGGACATATGTGCCAAGAGCGTGCACCCTGAGCACTCCCAGCACACATGTCCGGTACTCACGGAAAGGTCCCGATCTCCTCTTTCGATTGGAACCATTCCTGATCATGTGACCGCCGTGACAGCGCTCACATGACCCTAAACCCCACCCTGCCTCCCGGCTTCTGGAACCCTTAAAGGGCCGAGTGATTGAACAGTACTGACTGGCATATTCAAGGCTTTAAAAATCCTTTTATATCCTTTTCCATCTTTATAAAGTTCCATTACCTTGTTACACAGGTCTTTTGACAGTTCTTTTCTGCTCCTCATGGCTCAGTATCTAGCCTGCTCAGTGCCTCCACGTGAGAGCAACAAACTCACTGACTATTTATACACAGACACTGATTGCAACTTAAAAAGCCACAGATGTGGGAAATGAACCTTTAATGGCCATTGTACCCTGTGTGTCCCCTTGCGTGTCTGTACCAAGGCCGAACATTCCAGGGGGAGGGAAACTTCTGATCCGAGGGTGGAGACTTCTGATCTGGGGGCGGAGACTTTTGATCTGGGCCATTTGGGGGATTTCTAATTTCATTGGGATTTAAAAAAGAGCCAAACATGTGATAATAAATGGCTTCACATCATCACTATCCTTCAATAATAGCAGGATCAGTCAGATTTTCAATATCAATGCCAAAATGTCAGCATTTCTGCCAGAGGAGGGAGACTTGTAAACACAACTGTATTATTATTGTACCATCTTGCTTTCCTCTTGAAGAAAAAAAAAAAACTGAAAAAAAAAGTTAGGTGCTACGACAAAAACATGGATTACAGCTTAGTAAATTGAACTTGTTAAGAATGGGGGCATCACCTCCTCTGACCCAGCGAGATCTTACATACCACAGTGTTGTGCGCCATCAGCTGGAGGACGCTGGGAGTGACGCGGCTCCAGAACTCCAGTGCTGTCAGGATGGCCGTGAAGCTGAACTCGTTCTGGTTCTGGACAGTTGGAGCGATGGCGGCCTGCTCGCAGTATACCGTCCACAGCTGGGCAAAGATGAAGGCGTGGAAGAGGGAGCACATGTGGAGCACCGAGGTCTGTCAGACACATTATACAGATATCAAGTTAGCAAATTAATACCTAAACACAATTCACATTTATCTTTTCAATTGCTTTTTTTTTAAACTTCAATTCTGCAAACTTTACTTTTTGAATGAACTTCAAATAAACAAATAATTCAGCAGCTCTAACAGCGAGGTGGTAAAACTTCACCCTCCAGGGCAGGCCTTCAGGGACTTGACTCCCCTACATGGGACCACCACCCTGGACCTGTATAGCACCCTACCGGGCCACAAAGCAATATATCATTGCACAGGGTCCTGTTCCAGGGAGCCCAGTGCCAACCAGCAACCTTACAGGCTGTCAGTGAGGGGTTGGGGCACCATTCCTCTGAGCACTGACCAGCCGTAGGATATGGATCTGGAAAAAGCTATTTTCATGCAGACAGCTACACAGACATGACCATCAACCACAGGCGTGCGCGAGGATGTGCTCGCCCACATGGAAGAAAAATATATTTGAAATTTTGAAATATAGTTTAAAAATATTCTTCCCAAATATTTTAACATATATTGGAAATACTACAATTATGGCCGTATTCAATATACTTCAATATATATATATACTGTATGTTGAAATGCGGTCTTATTACAAAAAATATGAAAACCATGTAAAATATATATATTTTTAAAAATATTTTTCATACATTTTGTAATATATAAAAAAACACGTTTCAACATTCAGTATATACTGTGTATATATATTGTGGCAGTGCGGTGTCCTGCCACGGCCAAAATAAAGCTGAAAACCCTGGATTCTCAACCAGGCAGGTTGAGAGGCTCCAGAAAGTTGATGTATTGCAGAGGAAACTGGCTTTTCGATTTCCTCATTTATTCATTAAGTCTGTTTTGGGATCTGGAGCCAGGAGATTTCAAAGAGATCTGGGAGGGATGAAATCTCCAATCCGGGGTCCGTGTTTTGAGAACCCCCAGCACACTGAGTGCACAGGTGTGTGCAGGCCTTTTTATAGAGTCCTGACCATGGTTCTGGGCTCCACCGTGGCAAACGGAGTCAGGAGGGCTCCACCCCGGCACAGAGGAGTCAGGAGGGCTCCACCCTGGCAGACAGGAGGTCTCTGCCTTGGAGTCAGGTGGAAGCCAGACTAGCTGTGTGCTAGTGGCTATAATTTGGGAAGAGTCTGCAGGAGACAGACAGTGAACTGCGTACAAGCCAGGAGGCTGAATCTTTGTTGGTATTGCTTGATGGTGGATACCCCTGCGTGGAAAGCATTTTTGTTGAACTTTTTCTTTTAAATAAAAGTGGGCAAAATAGCCCTTAAATAAGCGAGTTGCTGTGTGCTTTAACAAGAAGAGCTCTACCATTTGAAGCGAGTTCCCACTATATATATATATATATATATATATATATATATATATATATATATATACTGTATGTTGAAATGCGGTCTTATTACAAAAAATATAAAAAATATTTTTAAAAATATATCAAACCATGTAAAATATATATATTTTTAAAAATATTTTTCATACATTTTGTAATATATAAAAAACACATCTCAACATTCAGTATATACTGTGTATATATATATATATATATATATACACACACACAGTATATACTGAATGTTGAGATGTGTTTTTTATATATACAAAATGTATGAAAAATATTTTTAAAAATATATTTTTTTAAATATACTTTTCAGATTTTTTTTTTTTTACATATAAAAAAAAGTCATTTTAACATATTTTTTCATACATTTGTAAATGCATTCCAAAAATGTAGATTAAATGTATTTTTAAAAATATATTTTTCATATTTTTTGTAATAAGACCACATTTCAACATACAGTATGTATATATATATTTATTGAAGTATATTGAATATGGCCAAAATTGTAGTATTTCAAATAAATGTTAATATATTTATGGAAGAATATTTTTAAAATATATTTCAAATATATTTTTTCTTCCATGTGGGTGGGCACACTCTAATCACCCCATGTACATTAGCATTATCGGCACTGGCAGAACTTTAGGGGTTACAATGCTCCAGGAGGTCCGTGCGCCCTCCCTGTCACTTTAGGTTTTGTGTGTGGGGGGGGGGGGCAATTACAAGACCTGATCCCCTATATGGCTCTTCAAGCAGCTGAGAGACAGCTTCTCCCCCTTTTCCTCCTGCAGCTTTCAGCTGCTGCATGGCCCCAGCCCCCCCCCCCAAATAATAAAAGCATTGAGGAAAATTTTTTTTAAAAATTTCAAGTAAGAATAGAAGAAAATAAATAAATAAATATGAGGCTCTGCTCACTTATGCTATCATATATGACCAGTGGTGTATGTAGGTTTTGTGCTGCACTAGGCAACACAAACATCCTCACCCCCCCCCCCCCCACAGAGAGAGCCTGACATTGACCAATAACACCCCTGCTTCCCACCCGAGAGAGCCTTCCACTACCACTGCCCCCCATACACCAGCCACCATCCCCCATGGCAACAGCTCCGGACATCCCTGAAAATGAGAGTTGGGCTGTGCATACACTGTCATGAAACTCGTAGCCTCTCTCAGAACCCACCAGGTCCCCATGCCACATGTGTTCTTTCTTTCATCCCTTCTTCTGAGGGGCAGTGCTGCCCCCCTGAAAAATGCTGCCCTAGGCAAATGCCTTGTTTGCTTTGTGGTAGCAAAAAACTGAAGCCTTGCCTAACGGGGAAGGGTTGTGCCTTGGAGATCATGCAGATGCTCTGTGTCCCATGATGTACAATAAAGAAATTGGACTGACCAATGTGGTTACATAATATAGTTACATAGTTAGTCTGGCTGAGAAAAGACAAAAGTCCATCCAGATCAACTATTAACAAAAAAAAAAAAAGTTATAATCCTACACCCACAGTTGATCCAGAGGAAGGCAAAAAAACCCCAGCAAAGCACGATCCAATTTGCTCCTGCAGGGGAAAAAATTCCTTCCTGACCCCCCGAGAGGCAATCAGATATTCCCTGGATCAACTTTCCCTATAAATGTTATATCCAGTTATATTCTGTGTATCCAAGAAAGAATCCAGGACTTTCCTACAGCAATCCACTGAGCTGTATGTAATGCAGACAACACACAGTACCTTCGATTGTTCGGGGAATCCGATAAGAATCACAATGAGGTGATCAGCCACATGGGAGCCGGCATCTAGAGGAATCGGCATGCATGGAGAGGGCGAGTTTGGGCAGACCACGCCGTGGGTGAGCGACCCCAAGAGAAGCCACGACAGGAGGCGGATATGCGACACACACTCAATGAACTCTTTAGGCCTGATTCAAGAAGAATATACATTTTAAAATACAGAAAACGTTAAATAGAATGATTTGTATGACTGAAATAGCAATTAGACCACAGCCCAAGGAATATGTTCGGATTTGTCTGCGCCGTTCCATCCGCAGGAACCTTCTGTCTATAATATATGTAGATTCTAACTGCATTAACCAACTGAGATAAACTGCTTGTAACAGAACAATATGGAAGAAATGATTACATTAAAGGGTCAGTCCACCCAAAAGTGATTATTTACTGGCAGAGTGTAACACTCACCTTGTCCCTGGTCCAGCTCGGAGTCTTCTCACCAGCTGCCCCCTTAAAGTGTCTACCTGTGCCCTCTGTGACCCCTTAGACTTCTTTGCCTCCAGAGACTGTGACCCCCAGTGCACCTTTGTGACCCCCAGTGTCTTCACTGACCTATGCACTCCTATGATTCCAGTGGCTCTGTGACCCCTGTATAGTCCCTGATTATCCCTCTGGGGTCCAGTGTCTCCACTGACCTCAATGACCCCCGTGGGCTCTAGTGATCCTGATGATCCCTGGGTGTTCCAGTGTCCCCAATGATCCCTGTGTGCTCCACTGTCTCCAGTGTCCCTGATGATCCAGTGTCTCCAGTGACCCCTGTGGTCTCCAGTGTCTCCAGTGATCCTGATGATTCCTGTGTGCTCCGGTGTCTCCAATGATCCCTGTGTGCTCCACTGTCTCCAGTGTCCCCAATGACCCCTGTGTGACACCAGTGTCCCTGATGACCCCTGTGGTCTCCAGTGATCCTGATGACTCCTGTGTGCTCCAGTGACCCCAATGACCCCTGTGTGCTCCAGTGTCTCCATTGACCCCTGTGTGTGTTTCCAGTGTCTCCAGTGACCCCAATAACCCCTGTGTGACTCCAGTGTCCCTGATGATCACTGTGAGCTTCAGTGTCCCCAATGATCCCTGTGGTCTCCAGTGATCCTGATGACTCCTGTGTGCTCCAATATCTCCCATTACCTGTGTGATCCAGTGTCTCCAGTGACCCCTGTGGTCTCCAGTGATCCTGATGACTCCTGTGTGCTCCAGTGTCTCCAATGACCAGTGTGTTCCAGTGTCTCCAGTGACCTTAATGTGACACCAGTGTCCCTGATGATCCCTGTGTGCTCCAGTGTCTCCAGTGACCCCAATGACCCCTTTGTGACGCCAGGGTCCCTGATGATCCCTGTGTGCTCCAGTGTCTTCAGTGACCCCTGTGGGCTCCAGTGTCTCCCGTGATCCTGATGACTCCTGTGTGCTCCAGTGTCTCCAATGACCCCTTTGTGTTCCAGTGTCTCCAGTGACCCTGATGATCCCTGTGTGCTCTACTGTTTTGGGTCTTCACACATCTCAAGCATGCTCTTGTATTTCCTGGGCTGTATGTCTCCCCATGGAAACAGACCCCCTACCCCCGGTGCGTAGAGTACCTCTGGGCCAGAAAGTGTGCTCCAGTAACCCGTGTGCTCCCGTGTCTCCAGTGATCCCTGTGCATTCCAGTGTCCCCAGTGACCCCTGTGTGCTCCAGTGACTTCTATACATTCCAGTGTCCCCAGTGACCCCTGTGTCTCCAGTGACCCATGTGTTCTCAAGTGATCCCTATGCATTCCAGTATCCCCAGTGATACCAGTGTCTCCAGTGACCCCTGTGTGCTCCAATGTCTCCAGTGACCCCTGTGTGCTCCAATGTCTCCAGTGACCCCTGCGTGCTCCAATGTCTCCAGTGACCAAAGTGTGCTCCAATGTCTCCAGTGACCGCTGTGTGCTCCAATGTCTCCAGTGACCCCTGTGTGCTCCAGTGACCCCTGTGTGCTCCAGTGTCTCCAGTGACCCCTGTGTGCTCCAGTGTCTCCAGTGACCCCTGTGTGCTCCAGTGTCTCCAGTGACCCCTGTGTGCTCCAGTGTCTCCAGTGACCACTGTGTGCTCCAGTGACCCATGTGCTCCAGTGTCTCCAGTGACCCCTCTGTGCTCCAGTAACCCATGTGTGCTCCAGTGTCTCCAGTGACCCATGTGTGCTCCAGTGTCTCCAGTGACCCGTGTGGGCTCCAGTGTCTCCAGTGACCCGTGTGTGCTCCAGTGTCTCCAGTGACCCATGTGCTCCAGTGTCTCCAGTGACCCATGTGCTCCAATGTCTCCAGTGACACCTGTGCACTTCTATGTCACAAACTCACCACAGAGTATCCTGTGACTCCAGTGAGCACTGTGCACCCTCATATGTCTTCATGCACCTCAGACACGCTCCTGTATTTCATGGACTGCATCTCTTCCAGTGGATAAGGACCCCCTGTCCCTGACATACAGCCGGGTAGGTAGTGTCTTTGGTCCAGAAAGTGAAGGGAAATCTCCCCAATAGGACACAGTAAAAACCCAACAGGTGTTCTAGCCATTTCCTACTCTATCCAAAGAACCCTCATCACCTTTGGAAACGCTTCATTGGTTTGCGGATATCCCATCTTCATGAATGTAGATTTCGGTAAGCCTTGTCCCGGCCCACTTACCCTTGCTGCATGGCTGAAGGCGGGTGATAGAGCCAAGGTAGGTATCGTATAACAGCCTTGTTGTCCCGGTGGTTTCCTCGGGTTATCTCCATTGCAGCTATTTGGGCGAGGCCGACTTTAAGGTGACCACCGAACGTGTCTTCATGTAAGGGCTGTGAGCACGTCTTCATGTGATTCTGCGTGACAAACATCAGACATGGAGACAGCGGCCTATGAGGTGGGAAAAGTCATGACTTACCGGTGCTCACAGGGTGACACTTACCTTCAGCTTGGTTAATGTATGCATATCAGCAATGAAGTCCAAAATCTCGGCGATGTATTGGCGCGTGCACTCCATGGCGGCCGTCCACACACTGCAACACAAATCATCCCGTCATATCCCGCTCTACGACTAAGAACGTGGGAGCGTCAGGCCAGCATGTACCATGAACACGTTCAGTACATATTCCCACACATTTCCTATTGGTCGACTCTACAAATGCTGCAATCACAGATAAATTCTTGTTGCTCTACCAGAAATCCAGGGAGCCCCTAACTCACGATGCCTTAGTTCTTTCCTGCTGGACTGCAGAACACCTCCCACTTATGCAGAAGAGAACTGGACGGGGCTGACAACTCTGGTTTCAGTGCAGCAGAGAAAATGTGTTGTCAGCTCATTGCAGAAAGTCAGGAGCTCACTGAATTCCTGGCAGGATCACCATGTATTTTTGCACTTATTGAACAGATATACGAAAACACTTTCACTTTCTTGGATGAGAACCTTCTTCCCTCATCCAGAACACTGAAGATGGGTTGTGGATGGGTTTTCCAGCATGACAATGACCCAAAACATTCTGCCGCCAAGGCAACACAAAGGAGCGGCTCAAGAAGAAGCACATTAAGGTCATGGAGTGGCCTAGCCGGTCTCCAGACCTTCATCCTATGGAAAATTTATGGAGGGAGCTGAAACTTCGAGTGGCCAAGCGACAGCCAAGAAACCTTCAGGATTTAGAGAAGATCTGTAAAGAAGAGTGGACCAAAATCCCTCCTGAGATGTCTACAAACCTGGGAACCAACTACAAGAAACGTCTGACCTCAGTGCTTGCCAACAAAGGTTCCTCCACCAAGTACCAAGTCATGTTTTGCTTGGGGATCAAATAATTATTTTACTCACGGAACTGCAACACCATTTATAACACTTGTATATGTGTTTTCTGTATTTTTGGAGACTGTGGTCCGAACTGCCTTAAGATCATTCACAAGCTCCTCCCTTGTAGTTCTGGGCTGATCCCTCACTTTTCTCATGGTCATCCTTACCCCATGAGGCGATATCTTGCATGGAGCTCCAGACCGAGGGCGATTGAAGGGTATTTATTTTGTATTTCCTCCATTTGCGAATAATCGCTCCAACAGTTGTCTCCTTCCCACCAAGCTTCTTGCTGATGGTCTTGTAGCCCATTCCAGCCTTGTGCAGGTCTACAGTCTTGTCCCTGATGTCATTTGACAGCTCTTTGCCCATGGTGGTGGTGAGGTTTGAATGGAAGAGATTCTGTGGACAGGTGTCTTTTATGCACATAACGAGTTGTCGTTAGGAGCGCCTTCTTACATGTACCACATGAGCACAGAGCCAGTCTGTGGGAGCCAGAATCATTGTTGGTTGGTAGGGGATCAAATACTTATTTTACTCACTGACCTGCAACTCCATTTATAACATTTCTATTGTGTGTTTTTCTGGATTTTTGGTTGATATTCTGTCTCTATCATTTAAAATATATTATAGACCCTTCATTTCTGTGTAAGTGGGCGAACCTACAAAATCTGCAGGGGGTCAGATCATTATTTTCCCCACTGTAGAGAATCTGATGCGACCCAAAGAGGAGCCCACTGACCCTACTGAGTATTGTCTGTATGTCCCAGGACAGTCTGGTGATCCAGTATTGGAAGAGAAGGGGACCCCATAGAGAACATTGCAGACGAGAAAAGAAAAGAAAAAAGAAAAGAAGAGATGGATGGTTAGATATAGAAGGGGAGAGGAAAGGATAATATTGTTGTCTTGGGATTCAGCGTTCCTGCTGAAAAAAAGCCCTGGTGGTGGCAGATCTATGACACCAACACAGAAGTCAAGGCTACCCATGAAAAGCAACAGGCGAGCCAATCGGTTTCCAGGACCATCATGCACCTGATTAGTGAGATTATTTCAGGCCCGTCACTTGCTGGATGGGAGAATGCCACACAGCATGGCCGCCTTCCTGGAATCAGGACTAGAGAAGTAACAAACTAGCATTGACTGGAGTGACCACCCATTACGGGCACGGAGTCTGGCAGAGTATGCCCAGCTGGCATAAGACCCCGGCTAAGATCAGACATTGAACATACTTAATATAGAAGAACAGAGGACAGGTTTTTCCAATGATGAATAGATGGGGGAGGGAGGGGGGGTAATACCAATTAACAAAGAGCCTCTGTTTACATTTCTGAGATGTTAGCGTGACTTTGTGAAATCATCTCCCTGGATTTGCCGATAACAAATCCGCAGAATTAATTCTCCTTTTTTATTTGGAGAGCGCCAGGCTTGTAAAGTCGGCGGCACCGGCGAGTCTCCTCGGCCTTCGAGCAGACAGATTTTCCTTCTATTTAAGAGAGATTAAGTACGTCGAGCCTCGGCTGTGCGCAGGAAACACGAGAGAAGTAAACAGAGAGATTATCCGTTTATCACAGGAGAGATGGGAATGGAGACGGAGAGAGATCTCCCTTCTGGAGACACATCACATCTTCCCCATAAAAAACATTCTGAGGGCACCACGTCTAGTCATGGGGACCCCCCCAGCAACCTTTATGTGGCACTTTGGGCAATACATGTCAGTGATTCTAAACATGAAGCCCGCCTCCATCGGGAAGAAGTCACAGGACATCTGTGGCCATAGTCAGCACACTATGAGAGATCTGAGGATAGAAGTCATTGAGGAGAAGTCACAGGAGGCCTGGGGCCATAGTCAGCACACTATGAGGGATCTGAGGATAGAAGTCATCAGGAAGAAGTCACAGGAGATCTGTGGCCATAGTCAGCACACTATGAGGGATCTGAGGATAGAATTCATCGGGAAGAAGTCACAGGAGATCTGTGGCCATAGTCAGCACACTATGATGGATCTGAGGATAGAATTCATCGGGAAGAAGTCACAGGAGATCTGTGGCCATAGTCAGCACACTATGAGGGATCTGAGGATAGAAGTCATCAGGGAGAAGTCACAGGAGATCTATGGCCATAGTCCGCACACTATGAGGGATCTGAGGATAGAAGTCATCGGGGAGAAGTCACAGGAGATCTGGGGCCATAGTCGGCACACTATGAGGGATCTGAGGATAGAAGTCATCCCGGGGAGAAGTCACAGGAGATCTGGGGCCATAGTCGCCACACTATGAGGGATCTGAGGATAGAAGTAATCGGGGAGAAGTCACAGGAGATCTGCCGCCATAGTCGGCACACTATGAGGGATCTGAGGATAGAAGTCATCGGGGAGAAGTCTCAGGAGATCTGTGGCCATAATCTGCACACTATGAGGGATCTGAGGATAGAAGTCATCGGGGAGAAGTCACAGGAGATCTGGGGCCATAGTCGGCACACTATGAGGGATCTGATGATAGAAGTCATCGGGGAGAAGTCACAGGAGATCTGTGGCCCTAGTCGCCACACTATGAGGGATCTGAGGATAGAATTCATCGGGGAGAAGTCACAGGAGATCTATGGCCATAGTCGGCACACTATGAGGGATCTGAGGATAGAAGTCATCGGGGAGAAGTCACAGGAGATCTGGGGCCATAGTCAGCACACTATGAGGGATCTGAGGATAGAAGTCATCGGGGAGAAGTCACAGGAGATTTGTGGCCATAGTCAGCACACTATGAGGGATCTGAGGAGAAGTCATCAGGGAGAAGTCACAGGAGATCTGTGGCCATAGTCGGCACACTATGAGGGATCTGAGGATGGAAGTCATCGGGGAGAAGTCACAGGAGATCTGTGGCCATAGTCGGCACACTATGAGGGATCTGAGGATAGAAGTTGTTGAGGAGAAGTCACAGGAGATCTGTGGCCATGGTCGTGAACACTATGAGGGATCTGAGGATAGAAGTCATCGGGGAGAAGTCACAGGAGATCTGTGGCCATAGTTGGCACACTATGAGGGATCTGAGGATAGAAGTTGTTGAGGAGAAGTCGCAGGAGATCTGTGGCCATAGTCGGCACACTATGAGGGATCTGAGGATAGAAGTCATCGGGGAGAAGTCACAGGAGATCTGTGGCCCTAGTCGCCACACTATGAGGGATCTGAGGATAGAATTCATCGGGGAGAGGTCACAGGAGATCTATGGCCATAGACGGCACACTATGAAGGATCTGAGGATAGAGGTCATCGAGGAGAAGTCACAGGAGATTTGTGGCCATAGTCAGCACACTATGAGGGATCTGAGGAGAAGTCATCAGGGAGAAGTCACAGGAGATCTGTGACCATAGTCGGCACACTATGAGGGATCTGAGGATAGAAGTCATCGGGGAGAAGTCACAGGAGATCTGTGGCCATAATCTGCACACTATGAGGGATCTGAGGATAGAATTCATCGGGGAGAAGTCACAGGACATCTGTGGCCATAGTCGGCACACTATGAGGGATCTGAGGATAGAATTCATCGGGGAGAAGTCACAGGAGATCTGGGGCCATAGTCAGCACACTATGAGGGATCTGAGGATAGAAGTCATCGGGGAGAAGTCACAGGAGATCTGTGGCCATAGTCGGCACACTATGAGGGATCTGAGGATAAAAGTCATCGGGGAGAAGTCACAGGAGATCTGTGGCCATAGTCAGCACACTATGAGGGATCTGAGGATAGAAGTCATCGGGGAGAAGTCACAGGAGATCTGGGGCCATAGTCAGCACACTATGAGGGATCTGAGGATAGAAGTCATCGGGGAGAAGTCACAGGAGATCTGTGGCCATAGTCGGCACACTATGAGGGATCTGAGGATAGAAGTCATCAGGGAGAAGTCACAGGAGATCTGGGGCCATAGTCAGCACACTATGAGGGATCTGAGGATAGAAGTCATCGGGGAGAAGTCACAGGAGATATGTGGCCATAGTCGGCACACTATGAGGGATCTGAGGATAGAAGTCATCGGGGAGAAGGCACAGGAGATCTGGGGCCATAGTCGGCACACTATGAGGGATCTGAGGATAGAAGTCATCGGGGAGAAGTCACAGGAGATCTGTGGCCATAGTCAGCAAACTATGAGGGATCTGAGGATAGAAGTCATCAGGGAGAAGTCACAGGAGATCTGTGGCCATAGTCGGCACAGTATGAGGGATCTGAGGATAGAAGTCATCAGGGAGAAGTCACAGGAGATCTGTGGCCATAGTCAGCAAACTATGAGGGATCTGAGGATAGAAGTCATCAGGGAGAAGTCACAGGAGATCTGTGGCCATAGTCGGCACACTATGAGGGATCTGAGGAGAAGTCATCGGGGAGAAGTCACAGGAGATCTGTGGCCATAGTCGGCACACTATGAGGGATCTGAGGATAGAAGTCATCGGGGAGAAGTCACAGGAGATCTGGGGCCATAGTCGGCACACTATGAGGGATCTGAGGATAGAAATCGTCGGGGAGAAGTCACAGGACATCTGTGGCCATAGTCGGCACACTATGAGGGATCTGAGGATAGAAGTCATCAGGGAGAAGTCACAGGAGATCTGTGGCCATAGTCGGCACACTGTGAGGGATCTGAGGATAGAAGTTGTTGGGGAGAAGTCACAGGAGATCTGTGGCCATGGTCGGCACACTATGAGGGATCTGAGGATAGAATTAATCGGGGAGAAGTCACAGGAGATCTGGGGGCCATAGTCGGCACACTATGAGGTATCGAAGATAGAAGTCGTCTGGGAGAAGTCACAGGAGATCTGTGGCCCTAGTCGGCACACTAAGAGGGATCTGAGGATAGAATTTGTTGGGGAGAAGCTGCAGTGCCAGGAATAAACTTTCATTTTTCTCGGCAGCCCACCAGCATCTTTCAGCATAGATTGATCTTTTATTGGAGTAGAAGACCACCGGGACGTTTCCTCACCAAAATAGCAGGGCCAAGGGGACAGGTGCATGGGGACAAGGGGGTGTGTGTGTGTTCCTGAGAATGTTGTACTCACCCCAGGTAGAGAAGCGATCATCTGCTTGTGAATTATGGTGGACTCCGCTAGTTTGGTGCCGACATCTGTGCAAATAAACTGAGAGAAAAAAACAGAACGACAAAAAAATCCCAGTTATCAGGAAACAAACTTTTCATCATTTTAAAAAAAACAATCAAACAATATTTTATCTCTGGGAATCGAACAACTGAATGCAAAAGATCTGGGAACACCTTATTTGGCGTTAAATCCTCCCTCCGCCCCCCCCCCCCCCCTTAAATCATATATAGGTGTACCGGCTCCTCCCCCCTTCAGTCTTGCACAGGTGTGCCGGCTCCTCCCCCCTTCAGTCTTGCGCAGGTGTACCGGCTCCTCCCCCCTTCAGTCTTGCACAGGTGTACCGTCTCCTCCCCCTTCAGTCTTGCACAGCTGTACTGGCTCCTCCCCCCTTAAGTCTTGCACAGGTGTACCGTCTCCTCCCCCTTCAGTCATGCACAGGTGTGCTGGCTCCTCCCCCCTTTAGTCTTGCGCAGGTGTACCGGCTCCTCCCCCTTCAGTCTTGCACAGGTGTACCGTCTCCTCCCCCTTCAGTCTTGCACAGGTGTATCGGCTCCTCCCCTTTAGGTCTTGCACAGGTGCACCGGCTCCTCCCCCCTTTAGTCTTGCACAGGTGTACCGGCTCCTCCCCCTTTTAGTTTTGAACAGGTGTACTGTCTCCTCCCCCTTCAGTCTTGCACAGGTGTACCGGCTTCTCCCCCCTTCAGTATTGCACAGGTGTACTGGCTCCTCCCCTCTTCAGTCTTTCACGGGTGTACTGGCTCCTCCCCCCTTCAGTCTTGCACAGGTGTACAGGCTCCTCCCCCCTTCACTCTTGCACAGGTGTACCGGCTCCTCCCCCGTTCAGTCTTGCACAAGTGTACCGGCTCCTCCCCCTTCAGTCTTGCACAGGTGTACCGGCTCCTCCCCCTTCAGTCTTGCACAGGTGTGCCGGCTCCTCCCCCTTCAGTCTTGCACAGGTGTGCCGGCTCCTCCCCCTTCAGTCTTGCACAGGTGTACCGGCTCCTCCCCCTTCAGTCTTGCACAGGTGTACCGGCTCCTCCCCCCTTCAGTCTTGCACAGGTGTACCGGCTCCTCCCCCCGTTCAGTCTTGCACAGGTGTACTGGCTCCTCCCCTTCAGTCTTGCACAGGTGTACCGTCTCCTCCCCCTTCAGTCTTGCACAGGTGTACCGTCTCCTCTCCCTTCAGTCTTGCACAGGTGTACCGGCTCCTCCCCTTCAGTCTTGCACAGGTGTACCGGCTCCTCCCCCTTCAGTCTTGCACAGGTGTACCGTCTCCTCCCCTTCAGTCTTGCACAGGTGTACCGGCTCCTCCCCTTCAGTCTTGCACAGGTGTACAGGCTCCTCCCCTTCAGTCTTGCACAGGTGTACCGGCTCCTCTCCTGGACTCCTCCTCCTCTTCTGGAGCTTCTCACAATGTGCAGTAGAAGCTGCAGCCCATCAGATAGAGCTCCACCTCATTTCCTGGTTGGAGGACGCCCAGCATCATCTAGTACTTTCCACCCCAGCCTGACTGTCCCTGGCCCCGCCCCTTTCATTCAGTGGATTTCAACTCTATCAGTCATGAAAGCTCAGCATCACATGTGAGCAGTCTGCATGCAAATTCATCCTGCCTGGGACCACTCACTTCTCCAGACTGACACCCACCCATCAAGACATTCTGATATTTGCATAACTCCTCCCATGAGTCAGCCCACTGCTTGCATCAGGACAGAGTAGTACTGAGGCAGGGTGCTGGGATGTTTTCAGGAAGCTATGCACAGCCCCCTGCCAGCCCCTCCCACCAGCCATGATCTGCCTGTATTGGATAGAAAAGCACAGAGAACCAGTGAAGACCTAGTAATGCCCACTCCTCCTCTGCTTGGGCGGACATGTGACCATTATAACAGACTGAGGTGCCAGCGTGCGATACTGTGTGGGAACAGCCTCGCCTTCTCCAAGGCCACACCCCCTAATGTGTTTCAGCCCTCATAAGACTATGCCTTGGGGGTTGGGCGAAACATCAGAGGGCGTGACCTAGGAGGAGTCGAGGCTGAGGCCGTTTCCACACAGTATCCAAGGACACCCCCCCCGATGCATTTCAGACCTCATAGGGCTATGCCTCAGGGGTTGGGCGAAACATCAGACGGTGTGACCTAGGAGGAGTCAAGGCCGTTTCCACACAGTATCCAAGGACACCCCCCCCCCCAATGCATTTCAGACCTCATAGGGCTATGCCTCAGGGGTTGGACGAAGCATCAGAGGGCGTGACCTAGGAGGAGTCAAGGCCGTTTCCACACAGTATCCAAGGACACACTCCCCGATGCATTTCAGACCTCATAGGGCTATGCCTCAGGGGTTGGGCGAAGCATCAGAGGGCGTGACCTAGGAGGAGTCGAGGCCGTTTCCACACAGTATCACATGCTGAGCTGTCGGTGTGGGGCCTCTTCCAGAAGAGCCATCTTCCCAGAGCTCATTGGATACATTTTGCTTCTCCATCTTTCTGAACCAATAAATGTTGATGATGTGTTTTTGGGCCCCAACCCCCTCTATACTTACATTACCTGCACTTCCTCGCACCTTTGCAGCCAGCAGGAATTCCCTGTACTTCCAGGTATGGAAGAGCAAGTGACCTGCTCCCCTATGACGGTGCCCAGGTCTAGCAGCCAATGGCTACCTGTGCATGTCACATGACCAAGGAAGAGATGTCAGACCACCCCAACACGGCCAATATCGGCGCCAGCTGTAGAGGAACATGAAATGAAGGTGAGGTGGGTGTAGGGGGGTCACAGGGGGTCTGCAGAGACATGGCGACTCTCCTCTGCACAGCTAAGGTGATGCTGTCTTTTTAATTAATTAGTTATCAGCTTAAGATGCCAGATTTCCCATTGCCGCATATTGATTATTGATTGCATACCATCAACACAGCCTGTATCTGGCACAGCGTGCTCAGTTACAGGAAATGGGAGACAACAAATGTTTGAAATGACGTCATCATGTAACACCTCGGCTTTATCTTTATTTTATCTGCCGGGTTTGTTATCTATGTACTGTATGGAGATATGGATTTGTATGGATAATATGGTTTGTAAATAGGAGATAACAATCTCTGTAGCTTTGTAGAGCTTTGACGTCATCCTGTAACCCCTCTGTGATCGGCTTTATCTGCTATTTTATCTGCCGAGTTTGTTATCTATGTACTGTGTGGAGATATGGAGAGCACAGTTTATACAGTGTGATCGGTGTGTAAATAGAAGATAATAATCTCTGTAGCTTTGTAAAGCTTTGCAATGACGTCATCATGTAACACTTCTGTGATCGGCTTTATCTGTTATTTTATCTGCCGAGTTTGTTATCTATGTACCGTATGGAGATATTAAAAGCACAGTTTATATCAGGGGGGTCATTTATAGTACAGTGTGATCGGTTTGTAAATAGGAGATAACAATCTCTGTAGCTTTGTAGAGCTTTGCAATGACGTCATCATGTAACACTTCTAGGAGATTCTAGCGATTGGCTTTCACATCTACTTTGCAGACTTGAGACTTATCTCTGTGTTGGTTATCTGTCTATGTAGGGATGTAAAATCTCGGTTTATATCAGGGGGGCATTTACTGTACAGCACATTGTGATCATTTACATTAAATATCAGATGGTGAATCTTTGTGGCTTTTAGCTAAAGCTGAACGAATGTCATTATGATTGCATAAAAATATCTGAATATTGCAATGTTAGAATGGAACGGGGCAGGGCTGTCCTAAAGCATGGGCACCCCTGAGCATTGCCCAAGGGCCCCAGGTGCATGGGGGCCCCATGATAATCTTGCATTACAGCATACTTGCCACCAGTTCCGGATTTGCTGGGACAGTCCCGCTTTTTACTAAGCAGGTTCAGCGTCCCAGAACCTGTACCGTGTCTTTCTGCCTCCCCCCTCCCCCGTACTGTGCCCTTCTGCCTCCCCCCTGTACTGTGCCCTCCTGACCCCCTGTACTGTACCATCCTGACCCCCCCCCGTACTGTGCCTTTCTGCCTCCCCCTTCCCTGTACTGTGTCCTCCTGACTCCCCCTGTATTGTGCCCTCCTGACTCCCCCCTGTACTGTGCCCTCCTGACTCCCCCCTGTACTGTGCCCTCCTGGCCCCCCTGTATTGTGCCCTCCTGACTCCCCCCTGTACTGTGCCCTCCTGACTCCCCCCTGTACTGTGCCCTCCTGACTCCCCCCTGTACTGTGTCCTCCTGACTCCCCCCTGTACTGTGTCCTCCTGACTCCCCCCTGTACTGTGCCCTCCTGACTCCCCTGTACTGTGTCCTCCTGACTCCCCCCTGTACTGTGCCCTCCTGACTCCCCTGTACTGTGCCCTCCTGACTCCCCCTGTATTGTGCCCTCCTGACTCCCCCTGTACTGTGCCCTCCTGACTCCCCCTGTACTGTGCCCTCCTGACTCCCCTGTACTGTGTCCTCCTGACTCCCCCTGTATTGTGCCCTCCTGACTCCCCCTGTACTGTGCCCTCCTGACTCCCCCTGTACTGTGCCCTCCTGACTCCCCCTGTACTGTGCCCTCCTGACTCCCCCCTGTACTGTGCCCTCCTGACTCCCCCCTGTACTGTGCCCTCCTGACTCCCCCCCTGTACTGTGCCCTCCTGACTCCCCCTGTACTGTGCCCTCACCTCTCCCCCTGTACTGTGCCCTCACCTCTCCCCCTGTACTGTGCCCTCCTGACTCCCCCTGTACTGTGCCCTCACCTCTCCCCCTGTACTGTGCCCTCACCTCTCCCCCTGTACTGTGCCCTCCTGACTCCCCCCTGTACTGTGCCCTCACCTCTCCCCCTGTACTGTGCCCTCCTGACTCCCCCCTGTACTGTGCCCTCCTGACTCCCCCCTGTACTGTACCCTCCTGACTCCCCCCTGTACTGTGCCCTCCTGACTCCCCCCTGTACTGTGCACTCCTGACTCCCCCCTGTACTGTGCACTCCTGACTCCCCCTATACTGTGCCCTCCTGACTCCCCCCTGTACTGTGCCCTCCTGACTCCCCCCTGTACTGTGTCCTCCTGACTCCCCCTGTACTGCGCCCTCCTGACTCCCCCTGTACTGCGCCCTCCTGACTCCCCCATACTGTACCTCCTTTCTCTTCCATCTCTTTCTGCACCAGAGACAAGGATGAACAGAAAGGGTGTCAGGGAACCAGTACTCATGCAGGCAATGCTCATACATGTGCGGCCAATTCTTATACATGTGCAGGCAAGGTTATACACAATCAGACGGATGGAAGAGGGGACAGAGTCAGGAGCCTGATCATGTATGACCCTGGCCTGGCTCCTGACCGCGTCCCCTGTTCCAGTCGTCTGATCGTGTATTACCGGCCTGGCTCCTAACCACGTCCCCTCTTCCAGTCGTCTGATCATGTATGACCGGCCTGGCTCCTGACCGCGTCCCCTCTTCCAGTCGTCTGATCATGTATGACCCTGGCCTGGCTCCTAACCACGTCCCCTCTTCCAGTCGTCTGATCATGTATGACCGGCCTGGCTCCTAACCACGTCCCCTCTTCCAGTCGTCTGATCATGTATGACCGGCCTGGCTCCTAACCACGTCCCCTCTTCCAGTCGTCTGATCATGTATGACCGGCCTGGCTCCTGACCGCGTCCCCTGTTCCAGTCGTCTGATTGTGTATGACCGGCCTGGCTCCTAACCACGTCCCCTCTTCCAGTCGTCTGATCATGTATGACCCTGGCCTGGCTCCTAACCACGTCCCCTCTTCCAGTCGTCTGATCATGTATGACCGGCCTGGCTCCTAACCACGTCCCCTCTTCCAGTCGTCTGATCATGTATGACCGGCCTGGCTCCTGACCGCGTCCCCTGTTCCAGTCGTCTGATTGTGTATGACCGGCCTGGCTCCTAACCACGTCCCCTCTTCCAGTTGTCTGATCATGTATGACCGGCCTGGCTCCTAACCACGTCCCCCTCTTCCAGTCGTCTGATCATGTATGACCGGCCTGGCTCCTGACCACGTCCCCTCTTCCAGTCGTCTGATCATGTATGACCGGCCTGGCTCCTGACCACGTCCCCTCTTCCAGTCGTCTGATCGTGTATGACCCTGGCCTGGCTCCTGACTACGTCCCCTCTTCCAGTCGTCTGATCATGCATGACCCTGGCCTGGCTCCTGACCACGTCTCCTCTTCCAGTCGTCTGATCATGTATGACCCGGCTTGGCTCCTGTCCACGTCCCCTCTTCCAGTCGTCTGATCATGCATGACCCTGGCCTGGCTCTTGAACACGTCCCCTCTGCCATCCGTCTGATCGTGTATGACCCTGGCCTGGCTCCTGACCACGTCCCCTCTTCCAGTCGTCTGATCATGCATGACCCTGGCCTGGCTCCTGACCACGTCTCCTCTTCCAGTCGTCTGATCATGTATGACCCTGGCTTGGCTCCTGTCCACGTCCCCTCTTCCAGTCGTCTGATCATGCATGACCCTGGCCTGGCTCTTGAACACGTCCCCTCTGCCATCCGTCTGATCGTGTATGACCCTGGCCTGGCTCCTGACCACGTCCCCCTCTTC